GCTGAGGCGGAAGGATCGCCGGAGCCCAGCGGGTCGAGGCTGCGGTGGCCGGGAGCGGCCGCTGCACTGCAGTCTGGGAGACAGTGAGACTCCAACTCAAAAAGAAAAAAAAAAGAAATAACTTTAAAAAAAAAATTTAGATTCAGGGGTTACGCATGCATGTTCATTCCAGGGCCGTATTGTGCAGTCATGGGGATCCGGTCTTGGGGGTCCATTCCCCAAATAGTGACCATTGTGCCCCGCAGAAGAAATAACCATTTAAAAGAACACTGCTGAATACCTATTATGTGCCAGATATTAGCCACTTTAGCACATTCTCTTATTTAATATTCATGACAACCCTATTAGATACGTACAACTATTATGCTCATTTTACAAAGATATTGAGAGATTAGCAGTTTTCCCCAAATCACAGACACCTGGAAGACAATTCTATCAGACTTCGAGGTTTCTGCCTCAGTCTACCTCAGCATTTTCATTTACCTTGTGCCGTCCTCCCCCCCGCCCCCCGCTGAAACCCCACCCCTACTGGTGTCACTGGTCTCCTTTCCATTCCCAGAAGAGAGTCAAGCTCCCCTCCTCCTCCCTTCTCCCAGGACCTGCTCTTACTGTCTCCTTTGTTTAGAAGATTCTTCGGTTTGTTGCATGGCTGACTCCTCATCTCAGATATCTATTCTAAATTAATTCTTCCCACTTTATAACATCATCGTGTTTGGTTTCCATCACAGTGTTTGTTACATTCTGAAGTTATCTTTTAAATTTCCCACCAGATCATGAGCAGCTCTATCCTTAAGGCTTCTTTCACTGAAGACTGACTGATTGAATGAAGTGGCCTATTTCTCCTGTACCTGGAGGTCTGGATAGTTCTGCCTTGTTCCAGAAGGTCACCTGTATTGTACCGACAGGCCATCGGAATTACACGTTCCTTACTTCACTGTCATCTCATTATATTACAGAGACTTTTCCAGGGCAGCAGTGACTTCATACCGAGGCACCTCGGGGTGACCAGGATAACCGCACCCTGCTCTACCCACCCTGGCCTGCAGGGGACGGTGTGGCCGGAGGCCTCCTTCGGTGCACGCCGTCGTCGCTCTAGGTGAACCGAGACATAGGGGCGGGAGAAGTGGAGTAGAGAGACGGGTCCAACCGGAAGGGGCGGGGTCGTCTGTAAGCCCGCCCCCTCGGGCAGGCACCCCTCCCTCGTCCCGCCCCTTCCCCCGCCCGGACGGCCATGGCCCTTCCCGGCATCCCCTATGAGCGACGGCTTCTCATCATGGCGGACCCTAGAGATAAGGCGCTTCAGGACTACCGCAAGAAGCTGCTGGAGCACAAGGAGATTGACGGCCGCCTGAAGGAGTGTGAGTGCACCTTTCTTCTCACATGTTCTCGTGCCGGACCTGCTTCTGCTTCTGACGACGCGGAAGCCTTTGGCTGGGCGCGGTGACCGAGCCTCGGAGATGGGCAGGCCTCGGTCCAGCGACAAGGCGCTTTGTCATCCGGCCTGAGCTGGGGGCGCAACACCCTCTCAGGCGTGGAAACGGCCCGGTCCGGTCCGGGTGGCAGAACATCCGCGATTCTGAGATGGAAATGGGAAGGGACTAGAGGAGTGGGGAAGACGTGGGCTGGGGGTGTTTCCTAGGGCGGGGGGCAAGGAGAGCAGTGTTGGCGGAGTCCCGGGACAGGCGAGGGCAGACGCTTGATCGAGGAAGCTTAAGCCAAATACGAGACTCTAGGAATCGGCCCGTTCGTGCAGTTGAAAGCTGGACGCGGGGCTTCGGAGAGAGGGGATCCAGGTGGCCTCATAACCCAGCGCGGCGCTCCTCGTGTTTCGTGTTGTGCGGTGTCCGGCGAACAAGTTTCCCTGATCTCCTGAGTCCTGAACGCTTTTTCAGTGCACCCTCATTGAAAAGTTCAAATGGTTTGATTAAATCAAGGAAGACCATAGTCATGTGATTCTTTGGAGAACTGCATTTTTTGGCCTTATTTAGGGTAGAAAACCAGAGAGAGTAGTCCAGGTGGGTAGACGAAGAGGGAAGAAGGATCTAACTCGTTGACTGTCATTCGGATTCGTGCAGCTCTGGAAGTGTCAGGATGTCAGTATCTGTTGAGAATGTAACTTAAAATATGCTTTATACAAGTAAGGATTGTGGATCAAGAAAAGAAAAGCATGTTGCTTTCTATGTAACATTTTAAGCGCGTCACTATTCATTACAAACAGCATTCTTTTGTGGTTTGAAATATCGAATGTGTGATTTGACATATCGAATGTGAAATTTAGCTAAAGTGAAATTGACTTAAGTAAAGTGAGACTTAAGCAACTTAAACGCGTTAAAGTTATTGTTTAATTTTTAAATGTTTACATTATGTTATTTCAGTAAGGGAACAATTAAAAGAACTTACTAAGCAGTATGAAAAGTCTGAAAATGATCTGAAGGCCCTACAAAGTGTTGGGCAGGTAGGTAATGGAGTATGGGGTGTAGAGGGTGATGGTAATTTGTTTTGTTTTTTAGCTGTTGACAAAAAGTAATGCTTTCTTTTTCTTCCTTAGATTGTGGGTGAAGTGCTTAAACAATTAACTGAAGAAAAATGTAAGTGAGTTAGATTATTCATTAGTAAAGAAAAGCATCCCATCCCTCCCTGACTTTTGAAATGTTATTATTTTATTGACAGTAATGCAGAGAGATATTTTTGCATAGACTAAGTTTTCTCTCAACTATTGTCTTAAAGGGCTGAAATAAAACTAAACCCTTCGTTGATGTGGATATATATTATTTTACTTTCTGTTTCTTAATTTATTCTTTCATGTTTTTCTTCTAGTCATTGTTAAAGCTACAAATGGACCAAGATATGTTGTGGGTTGTCGTCGACAGGTAATACTCTACATTTGTATGTGCTTTATAATTGTAAGTTGTTGTATCTAATTCTTGAGGTAAGCAGGTTGGGCATTATACCTATAACTCAATTTATTCAGACATAGCTAATTATTAGCAAACCTTGAATTCAAACTCATGGATTTTGACTCTTGGTATTTCCTACTTTTCTTACAGTGTTACACTGCCTTAGACAGATCTCCCCACTTAGAAATCAAAGTCAGTTAGAACTGGAAAGTGGATTATTTTATTTTAATGTCTTTTTTGAGGAGGACTACAAAGTGATACACTATCAGTTACCTATATCTATATTTAAATGTTCAGGAATGTTACTTAAAGACTGTATTATGGACTAAGTTAATTTTGTATGAGGTCATTTAGATTAGAATATGTATGTTGAAATAACCTTAGATTTCATTTTACAGTTATCAAAGATGACAAGAGATGGCTTGAATCACTCTCAGTAGTGTCTGAAGCCAGCTTATGTGATGTTCTTTTTTTTTTTTAATCAGAGTCTCATTCTGTCATCCAGGCTGGAGTGCAGTGGCACACCACCATGCCCGGCTAATTTTTTTGATTTGTTGTAGACACGAGGTCTCATCAAGTTGCCCAGGCTGGTCTTGAACCTGTGGGCTCAGGTAATCCTCTCGCTGCTACCACCTCCCAAAGTGCTAAGATTGCAGGCATGAGCCACCATGCCCGGCTGTGTTCCCTATAGATATAAGTATTGAAATAGTTTCATATTGATTTCTGTCTTATTTCAAGTAACCTCATTGGCGGTTTTTAAAAAAATCTTAATCCATTACATTAAACCTAGTGCTTTGCCTGTCTTCACTTCATTTTAGTTGGCAGTAAATCCTAAATTTGGAGCCCTTCATAAAATCTTATGACAAGTGGTCAGTAATTTAGGTGATTCTGAAATTGTATTGTAAAAGCAGTTTTTTAAACTATCAAAAACTAGCCAGTCACAGTGGCTCATGCCTGTAATCCCAGCACTTTGGGAGGCAGAGGTGAGAGGATTGCCTGATCCCAGGGGTTGGAGATCAGCCTAGGCAACTTGGCGAGACCTTGTCTCTACAGTAAATCAAAAAATAGCCCCGTGGGGTGGCACACACCTGTGGTTCCAGCTACTTGGAAGGCTGAGGTGGAAGGATCACCTGAGCCCAGCAGGTTGAGGCTACAGTGGCCATGAGCGTGCCACTGCACTCCAGTCTGGGCAACAGAGTGAGACTCCAACGCAAAAAACAAAACAAAACAAAAAAACTCTATCTTTGTAAGGTGATATCTTGAGTGTGAGGTGAATCTATTGGATAGATTATATCTAATTATGGACAAATATGCCAATAAAGTAGTATGATTCACCCTAACATGAAGTGCTTTGGTACCAGTTCCCGGTGTCACTGTACTACAGAGTTCTGAATCAAAATAATGAGCAAAACTATATTAAATAGTGATCCTTTGAAAGTAAAATACCAAAGTCCATTCCTTCTTCAAAAACAAATCATTACCACCTCAGACTTTGTGTACTAGTGATTTTACATTTCACACAGAGATTGCACAAAAGACCATTCATTTTAGGGACAGGTGGAAATAACTTTAACTTACTACTTTTATAAGCCATTCTGTTAGCATGAAATTTATGATTTGATATTTGTGTTCTCTCTGAAGGGTAAAAATGAGTATTCGGCTTCTAAATATTAAGCTTTTGTTAGAGCGCTAGTCCCTTTTTAAATGTTTATATGATACCTTTTGTTTTACAAAACTAGCTTGACAAAAGTAAGCTGAAGCCAGGAACAAGAGTTGCTTTGGATATGACTACACTAACTATCATGAGGTGGGTTTCTTATTGCGTTTAGTTTGCCTCACAAGAGGAGGATTTTCTCCAAAATATATGCTTCTTGAGATCAGTGGATATTTTGATAATTTTTCCCTTTTACTAGTTTCTAATAAAACACATCTTTATAAAATCACCTGCAGGTACTTGCATAAACAAGACATTATGTATGTACTCTTATCTGTAAGCTGAGAGAAAATATGTCTTTAAGAGAAAAATGTATGCCTTTTCATTCTAGATATTTGCCAAGAGAGGTGGATCCACTGGTTTACAACATGTCCCATGAGGACCCCGGGAATGTTTCTTATTCTGAGATTGGTGGACTCTCGGAACAGATTCGGGAATTAAGAGAGGTTGGTACTATTTGCTTTGTTCTCTGAACTTACTAATACATAGTACTGGTTTTAGGATGCCTAAAAGGAAAAACAGGATGAAAAAGCAATTTTTTTGTACAACTAGTAGTTACAATATTATGTATTTAGTACTTTTGCTTAGAAGAATAGCATTGACTCTAACTATGAGAATTACTGGTGTTTGTTAATTTGGAGATAATTTGGTGTTGGAAAAATTCTGCCCTTTTTTGTGGCAAAGGAAAGGGGAAAGAAGCTAAGAGTAATTAACATAAACTGAAAATTTCAAAGGATCACTATTTAATATAGTTTTGCTCATTATTTTGATTCAGAACATAATCTGATACCCTTACCCTCTGTGGTTTTGATTATTATAATCAATTACTTGGGTCAGAGTATATTTGGGTAGGTAACGTGTGTAATGTAATTTTTTCCATAATCCCGTTAATATAGCTTCTTACCTTTAAACAGTAGAGTGAGTTACCTGTGCCTTATTTATTTGTTTAAAGCCATTTGCTGCCATTCAAGAAAAATTCTGGTTTTAGGAGTGCTGGAAATCTTTTAAACTTTTAGGTGAAGAATCTAACCAGGATTGCCTTCCCAAACAGCACACATGGCTTTTAACTATTATCTGTAAAGCAAATTAAATTGTGCTGTCGATTTCATCCTGATTTAGGCTGAAATACTTGGGAATGAAGGGGAATAGTTGAAATATCTTATTTCATCTCATTGAAAACCTAAGCCAGTAGATCTCAAACCAACACATTGATTTTTCTGGAATACTTATTTAAAATGCTCTGCCCTCTGAATGGTTTTGATGAAGTAGATTGGGGTGGGCACTGGATTAGCATTTAGACAAGCATTTCAGGTGGTTATGAAGCCAAATTTTTCTTTGACATTACTTGAGGAAGCCCCGGTCCAAGTGTAAGTAAAAGCCTTTTTTCACCTTATATTTTGTGAAGTGGCAACAAGTGCTTCATGGAGCTATGAAAGAATGCCTTCCACAGTGACTTGCTGCATCAGCCATAGGAGCAGAAGGAATCATACATGCAGTACCCCTTTCTGTCTGTAGATACTTTAGAATATTGATTTCTCACTTCTAGCTTGTCACAGTCACACCTTATGGACACAGCTGTTGAATTAGAAATTTATCTTTTAAATTTCTGGTACTGTGAGTAATTTAAATTGGATAGTAAAATACTCAGTTCTTCTATTCTTCATTTTTTCCCCCCTTGAATCAGTCTTGGAAGGATATTGAGAGCAGAACATAGTGTTCTTTTAGGGCTGCTATCAAAATGCCAACAGATAAAAATTTTATATGTCTTTTCTCTTAGTGGCCATTATAACTTATCAACCCCATTTTATAATTATTTTGGTATATTTTCAAATGCAAGCTAGTGTAGGTCCTTTGAATTTTCTTTGTTTTACTTGCCTGTTGTTTTTGTAGTATAACTTAATTGAGGTCTAATTTACATCCAATAAATGCACAGGTTTTAAGTATACATTTCAAATATGTTTTCACAAATTATAAACCTGTGTAACTATCACCACAATCAAGTGTATAGCTTATTATGCATTATTTAAAATCATTTAAATTTAAGAAATCTTCATTTACCTATAGAAAAACCTCTTAATATAAATAGTTTTACATAGCATGGAAGTCTAGATCTATTATGAGTTATGATGTGTTCACCTAACTATGGTGATATTTGACTTAAAGTGTTTGAAATTACATTAAAAGTATTTACTAGCTTTTAAGGAAACATACCACATCTTTTCCAGGTAATAGAATTACCTCTTACAAACCCAGAGTTATTCCAGCGTGTGGGAATTATACCTCCAAAAGGCTGTTTGTTATACGGTCCACCAGGTTGGTATTGAAGTTTAATGTGGGCAGGGCCAACCTCTGCTTCACTCAGATTGAGAATAGGGTAGGAGATGTGTGTCTGCTATTCCTGGAGGCATGCTTACTGCATCTGTGCCTCTGGCATACTTTTAAAAAATACAGATTACTAGGCCCCATGTGTGGTTTTGATGAAGTAGATTGGAGTGGGTACAGGATTAGCCTTTAAACAAGCATTTCAGGTAGTTATGAAACCAACTTTTTCTTTTTCAATGCTTGAGGAAGCACTAGTCCAAGTGTAAATAAAAGCCTATATTCACCGTACATTTAATGAAATGGCAACAGAGTAAAAACAAGTGCTTCTTGGAACCTGGCCATTTGATTCTAGGGCCATAGCCCTCAAAGAGTGGTTCCCAGACCTCTGGGTGTTGCTGAGATGCGTTCATGGAATTTGCAAGGTCAGAACTACTCTTATGATACTAAGATGTTATTTGACTCGCACACCATGTTGACATCTGCACCAGAGGTGCAAAAGCAACCTGGGCGAGATTGCCCACACCATCGCATGAGTCAGTTGTTCATGGTATGAATCAGTACTCGTAGTCATTGTGTTCTTGACTGCCATGTACTTGCAGCGCAAAATTTTAAAAAATGACAATTTTACTTTTAAATATTCTTGGTGAAACAGTAAAAACTATTAGTTTTGTTAAATCTTCATTCTGGAGTGTTTTGTGTTCTGTGTAGTGAAATGGAAAATACATACAAAGCACTCCTGCATATTGAATAAGATAGTTGTCTTTAGGAAAAGTACTTCTGCAGTTATTTGAGTTGCCACCTGAATTAGTTGCTTCTCATGGAATACTGTTTTTACTTGAATGGACAATTTACAGACAAGCTGTGGTTATTCAGACTGGTTATTGGTTATTTGGCACATGTTTTTTTCCAAAGTGAACAAATCGAGCCTGTCATATGAGAGAAATAACTGATGCCAGTGATAAAATTTGAGCTTTCAAGAGAAAATTTGAATTTCTGAAAACTTTGAAAACTGGCACTATGGGCTTGAAAACTTTCTACTATGTTAGTACTAAAGACTTTTCTAATGAGATGGGTGGTACAAATAACAAATACTTTTTTAACATTCTATAATGAAAAAGTATCAACCTTTGAAAGATTTTCAAAACTCATTGAACCAAGCTTCTAAATAACCACGGCTTGATGTTAAAATATCCATAGGTAAAAGATCCAATCAGTGTGCAAGGTCAACCAATGTATTTTAATGTAACAAGTTTTGTCATAGGCCATATTGTAAGTAGTTTGATATATTTCTAAATTTCTATATTCAGTGTGAATAAAATAAAATTACAAAGCAATGAGATATCACCTTATACCTGTTAGAATGACTATTTTTTAAAAAATGAAAAAAAAAGTGTTGGCAAGAATGTGGAGAAAAGGGAACCTTTGTACATGGTTGATGGGAATGTAAGTCAGCACAGCTATTTTGAAAAACAGTGTGGAGGTTCCTCAAAAAAAAAAATTGCCACATGATCCAGCAGTCCCTCTTCTGAGTATATATCTAAAGGAATTGAAATTAATGTGTCAAAAAGATATCTGCACTTCCATGATCATTGTAACATTATTCATAATAGCCAAGATATAGAAACAACCTATAAGTGCCTATTTGTGAATGAATGGATAAAGAAAACATGGTGTGTACACACACACACACACACACACACACACACACACACACGAATACTATTCAGTCTTTTTGTTTTTGTTTTTTTGAGCCAGGGTCTCTGTCACCCAGGCTGAAGTGCAGTGACACAGTCATGGCTCACCACATTCTCAACCTCCTGGGCTCAGGTGATCTTCCTTCTCTGCCTCCTGAGGAACTAGACCTACAGGACCACGCCACCACACCCAGCTAATATTTTTATTTTTTGTAGAGACGAGGTCTTGCTGTGTTTTCTAGACTGGCCTTGAACTCCTCAGCTCACGTGATCCTCCCGCCTTGGTCTCCCAAAGTGCCGGGATAACAGGCATGAGCCACTGTGCCAGGCCTATTCAGCCTTAAAAAAAAGTTCTGTCATTTGTGACAATATGGGTGAATCTAAATGATATGCAAAGTGCAATAAGCCAGGCACAGAAAGACAATCCCCGCATAATCTCACATTCCTAAAAAGTGGAGCTCATAGAAACTGAGGATAAAATGGTGATTGTCAGAGGACAGGGCATTGGTGATGATGGATGGGGAAGGGAGAGATTTCAGTCAAAGGGTATCAAGTTCACTTCTACAGGAGGAATAAATTGTAGTGATTTATTGCACAGTGTGGTGGCTATAATGAATAATGTTTTAGATATCTCAGACTTGCTAATAGTAGATTTTAAATGTTCTTGCCACAAATAATAAGTACCAGAAGTGATAGATAGGTCAATTATCCTGATATAATCATTTCTCAATATATACATGCATCATAACATTGCATTTACCCCATAAATAAATATATTACTTGTCAGTTGAAAATAAAATTATAACTGCTTTGGCAAAGAGAGCCACCACTGACTAAAAAATAAATAAATAATAAAATAGAAATAAAAATATAAAATTATAAGAGATTTGAATAAAATTTAAAATTTTAATATTGAGACTAGAAGTGCTTTGGAATTTTAGATAAACAATTTATTTGGGACTTAGCTTTCATCTTGGAAAATTTACTTGCCAAAGGATTATATTCTTAAAAGGCTTTTGAAAATTTATTTTACCGTCTATCTAATTGGGACTATGAATGTTTCTAGGTACAGGAAAAACACTCTTGGCACGAGCTGTTGCTAGCCAGCTGGACTGCAATTTCTTAAAGGTAAAGGGAAAATTATTTTGTAGTTGTTGAAATTAAATTTCATTTACATTGTCTTGTATTCACCTTACTGTTTTTCCTTTAATCAGGTTGTATCTAGTTCTATTGTAGACAAGTACATTGGTGAAAGTGCTCGTTTAATCAGAGAAATGTTTAATTATGCCAGGGACCATCAGCCATGCATCATTTTTATGGATGAAATAGATGCTATTGGTAAGAACAACACCTTTTGAAATTTGTTTTACACTTCTCTTAAAAGCATTAAGAAATTTTCCTTAATTCTAAAAGAACTTTTTCCTTCTCTCTTAATCTGTAATTGTGACTTGTATGAAATAGATAACACAGTGAATTGGATGTTACTTTTAAAAGATTCTTGAAAACTTTAACCAATTGTAATCAATCACTTTAGAAAATAACAAAATGAGAAATGTTAACCAAAATCAGTTTGAACTTTGTCAGTATAATTCTTAACCGTTTAATTTTCATCGTAATGTTTTTAGCCACAGACACTACTATTATGTTCTGTTTTCTTAAATGGTGGTTACAGAGGAAAAGAGTAATGCATCTACATTTCCAAATGACTATTGTAGGTGGTCGTCGGTTTTCTGAGGGTACTTCAGCTGACAGAGAGATTCAGAGAACTTTAATGGAGGTAATATCTGGTAAAAGGCATTGGTAAAGAAACCAATGCTTATTAAATGAAAAATTAAACATTGCATATTTGAAAGTCAAAATATATACAACATTTTAAATGAAGAATTAAATGTTAAATTTGAAAATGTTGATCGTAATGAACATGTTTCTGTATCACAGTCTGTAATAGGAAAATGACTACTCTAAAATAAGGGTACCTGCAAAGTTCCATTTGGTGTTTATCTCTATTCTGTGTTTTTTTGAGCAGATCAGCCATTCAGATATTTAAATTGATGTGACTTTGTGCTAGTTTTATTAAGACATTTTGTAACTAACTGCTATGTTAAGACTAATGACAAATAAATTAGAATTACAAATGAGACGACTCTAAAAATCATTCTTTTTTCTCTTGCTTTATTGCTGAGACTGAGGGGCAACTAAAATATTTGTGATAACTAAAGAAGATATGTGATGAAATGAAAGAATGTACATAAAGCCTTTCCCCACTGTGAAAGTGATAGCAAAATTCCAGGCACATTTTCCCACTTCAGATAGAAACTAGGTAGCATAGGTAATGCAATGTCAAAATTCTTTTCACTAGGGATATTTGAAAATCAGTTTTATATGTTTTTCTGGTCTGCTCAGAAGATAAATAGGATTTTTAAGTTGGTTATAAAGTCACTTAGAAACCCTTAATTGAGCTACTTTATAAGGATACAAATACTGGTGTTAGTTGTGTAACTGATATGTCATCACTACCACATATTACCAAGTTAGCTATATTTTAAAGAATGTTAAATGCAATAAGGTTTGTCTTCATTTACTCAAGAAAACTTTAGAAATTGAAGGAAATATGTTTGGTCTCTTTCAATACTTCTATGTATTATAGGATTATTTGAAAAGATATTTTACAGGTTTGTTAATCAAATTTATGGAAGAATCTTAGTATCCACTTACCCTAATGTAAGTGTTACATTTGACACATATAATCACTTTATACATTAGATTTCATTAGTAGTTTTTATTTTAAAAAATATTTGTATGAAAAAATTTTGGATGCTGAAAATCAGACTCACATAGTTCATAACTCTTGACATAATGGAAACCATCAGATTTATTAAAACTATGCAGTAACTATTAAAAAGGTACATAATTTGACTTACAGCTGTGAAGGTAGAAAGTATATCCCTTTAAGCTGGGTGTGGTGTCTCACACCTGTAATCCCACCCCTTTGGGAGGCGGAGACGAGAGGATTGCCTGAGCCCAAAGGTTCGAGACCAGCCTGGGCAACTTGGTGAGGCCTCGTCTCTACAATAAATAAAAAATTAGTTGAACTTAGTGGTTTGCACCTGTAGTACCAGCTACTTGGAAGACTGAGGCAGAAGGATTGCCTGAGCCCAGCAGGTCAAGGCTGTTGTGGCTGTGAGCATACCACTGCACTCCAGCCTGGGCAACAGAGTGAGACTGATTCAGAAAAGAAAGTATATCCTTAAAACCAAGGGAAAAAAGTAGAATTCTGTCAAATGATTATTCTGAAGGTCACATATCTGTCTGTAGACAATACATGATATTAGGCATATAATAAGTTTGTGCTGTTAATTTTTTAATGGTTAAAATGTTTTATAAAATCTATTTTTTAAATATTTTTAGTTACTGAATCAAATGGATGGATTTGATACTCTGCATAGAGTTAAAATGATCATGGCTACAAACAGACCAGATACACTGGATCCTGCTTTGCTGCGTCCTGGAAGATTAGACAGAAAAATACGTGAGTTAAGATTTTTTACCTGCTATCCATTTCCCTTTGTCTATGTCCATGTCTCTTTCCACACTTCCCCTTATCCCCCACTTTACTGGAAAAAACAAAAAGTACAAAACTGGACTATAAAATAATTTTTTTTATTTTCAGATATCGATTTGCCAAATGAACAAGCAAGATTAGACATACTGAAAATTCATGCAGGCCCCATTACAAAGCATGGTGAAATAGGTAAGAAGTAACCTCTTTTATATGTATTTATAGTTGGTAAATGAAGCAAAATAAAGTTGGATATTACTGATGGTCTACCAAATCTGGTTTGATGTAGAGTTAGAAACACATAAAAGCAGAGAAAAGAGCATAAATTCAGCAAACACTGAGCATGTGTTATATGCTAGGAACTGTTTCAAGGGCTGGGGATATAGCAAGGAATGAAACAGGCAAATTCTGCCTTTAAACAACTTATATTCTTATTAGGAAAGACAGATAAAGTAAGCAAAACATAAAATATATTAGATGGTGATAAGTGCTATGGAGGAAAATAAAGCAAGAAAAGGAGGACAGGAAATGGCAGGAGCAGGTATGAGTTTGTACGTTTTTAACATGAGGAGGATTAGTATAGGGAAGGCCTTGCCAGCAGGTGATTTTTTTTTTTTTTTTTTTTTGAGTCAGAGTCTCACTCTGTCACTCAGGCTGGAGTGCAATGTTACACTCGTGGCCACCATAGCCTCAACGCGCTGGACTCAGGTGATCCTTCCACCTCAGCATTCCAAGTAGCTGGAACCACAGGCGTGCACCACCACACCTGGCTAATTTTTTTTATTTACTGTAGAGACAAGATCTGGCCAAGTTACCCAGGCTGACCTCAAACCTCCAAGTTCAGGCAGTCCTCTCACCTCTGCCTCCCAAGGTGCTGGGATTACAGGCATGAGCCACCGTGCCCAACTAAGAAGGTGAATTTTAAGCAATGACCTCAAAGGTGAAGGAACTAGACACAGATATGGAGGAAGATCATTCCATCCAAGAGGGAGTGGCAAGGAAGATGACCTGAAGCAGGCGCATGGCTGGCTCACTCCAGGAGCAGCACAGAAGCCAGGGTGTCTGGCAGCGTAAATGCACAATGCCAGCAGGCAGAATTGTGGAGGTGGTGGGGACCAGAGTCTGCAGAGCTTTATAAAGGTCAGGGCATAGAGCCTCTGCTTTTACTTGTAGTGATATGGGTGCCCCTGGAGGACTATGAGCAGAGGAATGATAGATAGGATCTCACTTTTTGGGATTTTTAACTTTTGATTGTAGAGTTAGAAACACATAAAAGCAGAGAAAAGAGCATAATAAACTTCAGGCCCCTGTGTACTAATCTGCCAGCTTCAATTATTATGTATTTCTTTAAAAATTGTACAACTATAGTACTGTCTTTCAAAAATTTACTTGCATCAGTTTTTCATTCTGTGTAGTTATTAATATGATACATGTTTAGGTTAATTTGAGGGTTTGATTTTTTTGTCTTTAATTTAGTTTTTGAATATGTACATTTAGGAACAAAAACAATATATAAAGACATACATTCAGGTAATTTTTATTGATGATCCACTTCAGTGTTAATAATAATTCTTGGCCAGTCTTGTTTCGTCCCTAACCTTTCCTTTCTCTTGCCATCCCTCTTTATTTTTAAAAAAACAAATCCCAGGTATTATTTCAACCATAAATATTTTGAAATTCATTTAAGATTACTCTGACTGCATGCTACTAGTAAAGTGTAGAGGGACGAGAATAGAAACAAGAGGATCGATCAGGAGTTTATTTCAGTAATCCAGGGAAAAGATGATGATGGTCTGGTCAAAAGTGGTAGCAAAGTTTTTTCTCCCTTTCCCAACTTTATTGAGATATAATGGACAATGTCTTTTAAAAGGCTGATATTCTGGATATGTTTTGAAAGTTGAGCTGACACAACTTGCTTATGGATTGGATGTACGGTGTGAGTTAAAGAAAAGAGCCAGGGAAGACTTTGGCTTTTGGCCTAAGCAACTGGAAAAATGGGGTTGCCAGCAGTTAAAATGGAAAAGACTGGAAAGGTTAGGCTTTAAGGGGAGAATAAAGAGTTTGATTCTGGATATATTAATCTTTTGCACTCGAATGTCCCCTCTCAGGGGACATATTAAGCAGGACAAACTTACGCCAGCGCAAATTTTTCAAAAATGTATGTTTCCTGAAGTTTTCCATTCAAATTACTTAATAAAGCAAATAGGGAGATAGAATATATACTGAGATATAAATCTTAAAAAATCAACTGGCGTTATTTAGAAAGATAATGTTCTTCCACATCATCTTCGAACAACAGACTGGGCAATGAACTACATTTATTAATATGGGAGGAAGAAAAAGAGACTGTATTGTCTGCTCAAATAGAAAAATACCAGGTGGAAGCTGTCAAACAAATTACTATTGCACAGCATGTAACAATGAACCAGCAATGCATGTTGCTGACTGTTTCACACATTACCACACGTTAGGAAAATATAAGATATAAAATTTTGATTTTTTTGTCATAAATAAGTTCTCACTATCCAAACTTCCATTGTAAGCCAAAGATCATTACAATAAAATAATTGGTTCTGGTGTCATACTATTTTTGAGACGTGATTAGTTTTTCATTTTTATAAAGTACAGTCAAGTTGCTGGTAGGTGATCCGTGAGTTGTCTCCGAGTGCAAAGAGTTAAATTTGAGATGCTGGCAACTCATTTATTTTAACTAAAAGGGTTGATTAGTAATTCTGTATCCATCTGTAGTTCATTGGGGCAATCTATGTTGGAGATACAGATGTGGAAAATATCAGTATAAAAATGTTTGTTTTTGTTTTTGAGTTGCAGTCTCACTCTGTTGCCCAGGCTGGAGTGCATGGCATGCTCATGGCCACCGCAGTCTCAACTGCTGTGCTTAGGCGATCTTGCCACCTCAGCCTTCCAAGTAGCTGGAACTACAGGTGTGCACTACCGTGCCTGGCTTATTTTTTTGATTTAGTGTAGAGACAAGGTCTCACCGAATTGCTCAGGCTGGTCTTAAACTCCTGCCTCAGCCTCCCACAGTGCTGGAATTACAGGCTGAGCCACTGAGCCCGGCAGCTTTATTCTTTTTTAATGGTTGCATAGCATTTTCCAGAAAGCAGGATTTGAGAGGACAGAAAAGCTCCCACAGTGGGAGGGGACCCAAAGGGGTTGCCCTAAAAATGGTTTTTCAAGTCTTATGATTAGATGAGATTTCCAAGTGGTATTGAATTTGGATAGAGAAGAGAAGAAAGTCAAAGACTGAGCTTAGATAATTTAGGCATTAAGAAGTTCAGATGAAGAAACATCAAAGGAGTCTGAAGGCAGAGTCACAGTAGTAGAAGTAAAACCAGGAGCTGGTGGTGTCCTGGAAGATAAATGAAGAACATTTTTTGAGGAGTGACTGATCTCTGTCAAATGCTGACAGTGGGTCATATAAAAAGAGTTCTGAGGCTAGTCATGGTATCTCACGCCTGTATGCCCAGCACTTTTGGAGGCTGAGGCACGAGGATTGCTTGAGGCCAGGAGGTTGAGACCAGCCTGGGCAACATAGCAAGACCCCATGTCTGTCTGTCTTTCTGACTGTCTGTCTCTCTTCCTCTCTCTCTCTCTCAGATAGATAGATAGATATACAGATAGGTATTTTAAAGAATTTTGAGAGTAGACCTTTGTATTGAACTATGTGGAGGTCATTGGTAACCTTGTCAAAAGTAATTTCTTAGGAGTGGTGGGGGTGAAAGCCTACTTCAGATGGATTTCGGAGAGATTGGGAGGAAAGGCGTTGAGTTTAGACATTTCTTTTAAGTTCTGCAGTGGGGACACAGAAGAAATGGAAGGGAGATGGAGACAAGAGGATTTGGTAGAGTTTTAAGATGGAAGAATTTATACCACTTTTTTTTTTTTCTAATGCTGCTGGGAATGATCTAGGAGAAAGAAAAATTAATAATGCCCTCCCTTGAAGAGAGGTTGGCCCTATCTGTATGTATATTTGTCATTTATAAGAATGGAGTAAAGGCAGAATATGTAGATGCTGATGATGACAGGTCCTCGGGTAGTATAGGAACTTGCAGTGTTTTTCTGAATGCTTCTATTTACTCAGTGAAATAGAATTAGAATGCAAATTCAGAGTGAACATAGGGAAGTACTATTAGAGAATTGAGGACAGAAGAGAAGGTATAAAATAGTTATTTGTGAAAGTGAGGAACTGGCCTTAGATAGAGGCCAGCAAAACACACTTGTGAGACAAATTCTCCCTGCCTTCTGTTTGTGTAAAAGTTTTGTTGTAACTCAACCATGCTCATTTAGCTATATATTGTCTATGGCGGCTTTCCCACTCTAACAGCAGAGTTGAGTAGCTGTGACAGAGACCATATGGCCTGCCAAGCATGAAATATTTACTATCTGGTCCTTTGCATAAAAAGTTTGCTGACGTCTAAGGGAATAATAGTAGTATAATTGCCAGGCAGCTTTAAACATCCTTTAGAAGTTAATGGTCCAAAATAATTACAAAGAGTTGATTGTTTCTTCTTACTATCTCATCGCTCCTGTGAGAGTTTTAAGCTAGAACGGCTGAACTGGACAAAGGATGTCAATTTACAGGTTTCTTACACAAATACTGAATACTGGTAGGTGCCAGATCCTGTGCAAGCCTTGGGAATTCTTGTCTCATTGTAAGGAAGCTTACAATGAATTTTAACCTGATTAAAGGATAATTAGTGAATATCTATATGATTTCAAACAGATATTGACATACATTGTATTGCCTGACAAAGAGTGTATCATCAGAGTTAATCGCATTGTAGTAGCCTATGTTCTCTTACTTCTCTCCGATAGCAAATCCATGACTGCTACCCCAAACCTACAGCTCTTCAGTTCATGTCTATCATGTGGGTGGGTAGAGGGATCACTTAACTACTATTGTTATTATAGAACTGATACTTCACAACTTGAAACTTTCACAGAAACCAGAAAATCTAGTCAATGCCTGCTGTAGCACTTAAAAATTTCACGTTGGCTAGATGCTGTGGCTCACACCTGTAATCCCAGCACTTTGGGAAACCGAAACAAGAGGATTGCCTGAACCCAGGGGTTCAAGACCATCCTAGGCAACTTGGTGAGACCTCGTCTCTACATTCAAAAAATTAGCTGGGTGTAGTGGCGCATGCCTGTGGTTCCAGCAACAGAAGTCTTAGTTTTTGGATGTTAATATTGTGCAATGTGACTACCCAGCTGATCAAATTCAAAGCAAGCTCTTCAGTTTAAATGTTCCATGTGGGCATAAATTAAGAAAGGCTCTAATTTTTTAAAAGCTAATTTCCAGTATTTCTTTCTTTCTAAACAGATTATGAAGCAATTGTGAAGCTCTCAGATGGCTTTAATGGAGCAGACCTGAGAAATGTTTGTACTGAAGCAGGTAAGGGTTTAAAGTACAGTTTTACTATTGATTTTGATTTTTTAAATTTGCTAAAGCTGTCTGAATTTGTCCAAAAGCAGAGCCTGACTCTTGCAAGGATTTGGGTGTATGCTAGTTTGTTTTTTTTTTGGGGGGGGGGCAGTTGTTTCCAGGAAGTCAGAGAGAACAGGGCAAGTGAGATGGAAAGAGGAAAAGGCAATAAGAGGGTGTGCCGTTGAGGTAGTTACTGTAGGTAAGGGGGTTAGAGTTTGATGAGACCTCAGAGAAGCAAAACAGAATGCCTTCCAGGATAACCTGGTTGAAAGGTAGAAGACTGGAATATGTATTTACCAGCACTCATCCTCCGTTGATGAGATTTGCCCTTGGTGGTGTTCACTCCTCTACACTCTGGGTGCCTTAGGGCAGAATGTGGAAAGAGAGGCATGTGACAGAGCACTGGCCCCTGGAAATGAGCCGGAGGCCATACAAAACTGCCTACCACACCTGTGGCTAGAGTTAGAATGGGCCAGTGCCAGGGGCAGCTGCTGGAAGTGAATAATGTATGTTTTCTGATAACATGTCTATGAGCAGTAAGCTTTGAAAGATTAATTTATGAATTATGTTGATCATGTAATTTTTGTAAAATAGTTTTTACACATAATTCTCTCGTGGGTTATGTGATAACTGTTTTTTTATATCTGCATTGTGTGTAAAAATTGTGTGATACTGTCTTTATTTCTGGTACCAAGTAACTTTAATACCCTATCTTGAATAATTTAGTTTTCATCTTCCATATAGATTCTTTTTTTTTTTTTTTTTTTTTGAGTTGGAGTCTCACTCTGTCACCCAGACTGGAGTGCAATGACCGCTCCTGGCCACCGCAGCCTCGCCTGCTGGGCTCCGGTGATCCTTCCGCCTCAGCCTTCCCAGTAGCCGGAATTATAGGCATGCGCTACCAAACCCGGCTGATTTTTTTATTTATTGTAGAGATGAGGTCTCGCCGCCCAGGCGGGTCTCGAACCCGTGGGCTCAGGCAATCCACTCACCTCAGCCTCCCAAAGGCGCGGGATTATAGGCTGAGCTACCGAGCCCGGCCATATAGATTCTTAAAATAGAAAAAAACAAATGTTTACATAGTTTTTATAGTTACTGACTTCATAGGTTGAAAGTTTTCTTAAATATTAAAATATACGATTTCCTCTTGCTCTTCATGTCATATTTAGCCTCATTTTAACTTTTTTTTTTTTTTTTTGAGTTGGAGTCTCACTCCATCACCCAAGCTGGAGTGCAGTGGCATGCTCACCACCACCCAGCATTGACCCGGCGATCCTTCTGTCTCAGCCTTCCAAGTAGCTGGAACTATAGGAGCGTGCTACCATGCCTGGCTAATTTTTTTTTTTTTTTTTATTGTAGCGATGAGGTCTCACCAAGTTGCCCACGCCGTCCTCAAACCCATGGGCTCAGGCAATCCCCTCACCTCGGCCTCCCAAAGTGTTGGGATTACAGGCTTGAGCCACTGCACCCGGCCAATATTTTTTGATAAATTTAACAGGTAGTGTTTAAAGAAGCTGCTCAGGCATGGCTTCTCAGTAGCAGTATCTTCGTGGGTATACTGTGACTCTGTATCTGCATCCGAGACCTGCAGGTCTAGAAACTTTTGATACAAATCAGAGTAGAACATGCTCACAGAGACTTAACCAGTAAACAAAGTTATGAAGAGGTAAGCTATCATATAACTTGAACTACTCAAAGTAATTCATGACATTCGCTTTCTAAACTCTAAACCAGACCAAATTATTACCAGAAATTGCTTTGGTTATATTGGAATCCAAACAAAAGCAGTGCTGTGGTCTTAAAGATTGATGCTATCAAATTATAATATGCTCTTTTCCCCATATATTTTTTTAAATTTATCTTATTTCAAACGAAGAGTTGTAACTTCTCTGTATATCAAAATTTTAGCTTTTTAACTGGGTACAACAGTCACATCTGAAGATGTACTAAAATTTTTGTTTGGTTTTCTTATTAGACTTCAAACCTTTTTTGTTAACATAATCTTTCTGTAAGTTAAAATATACTTGATTCAGCTATAATTGCCACTTCCATTCAGGTCTTGACATTGTCATCCTTTATAGATTAGAATGTATCTCTTTTGCAGATTTATTCATTTACTAAACAGTGATTTGGAAATAGTCATATGCACAAGGTTTACAAAAATAACTTACCTAGCTTAGCTGAGGCTTTCTGAACAAGTTTTAAAACTTGGCTATTAAAAAAACAATCATTTCCATCCACTTGATTTCTAGGAAAACATAGAATGTTTCCTTATGTAGAAATCTAGAAAGGAAAGAAAAGATAGGAAGTAACCCTTGAAATCTTCTATTCCAACTCGCTCATTTTGTGTAAGTGAAAATTTAATACAAGCAGATCCTCAGTGGAACTATTAGAACTCATTTAATTAGTAGATAGTGGTACCTTACCAACTTTAGTTTATCATGAATTAGGATTGTGTCAAAATTTGGGACCCATATCTGTGACAGAACTAATCTTAAAAAGAAAAAAACACACATACAAGAAAACTTTAAACTCTTTGTCAAATGGTATTGAATAAGTAACTTGTGAAAAATTTGAAGGGAAAAAACTGAGATGTGACAATTAAATATAAATCATGAAAAAGACCAACTTGTTTCTTAAGTAAGATAAATTTTAACACAAATAATAACCAATTTTTATTTTATTTTTATTTTTATTTTTTTGAGTTAGAGTCTCACTCTGTCGCCCAGGCTGGAGTGCACTGGCACACTCACAGCCACCCCAGTGTCACCTTGCTAGGCTCAGGCGATCCTTCCGCCTCAGCCTTCCAAGTAGTCAGAACTACAGGTGCGCACTACCACTCCTGGCTAATATTTGATTTATTGTAGAGATGAGGTCTCACCAAGTTGCCCAGGCTGGTCTTGAACCCACAGGCTTGTGCAATTCACTCACCTCAGCCTTCTAAAGTGCTGGGATTACAGGCTAAGCCACCAAGCCCGGCCAATAACCAATTTTTATTAAATCCCGCTGGCTTTCTATAACTTCCTGTTCTCTACAAGGAATTTACAAGGAGCAGCTATCAAACTTACTGGAGGTGTTTTGTTTTTTTTCCATAAATGTGCTTCCCTTTTTTCCAGGGAGTCATTGCCTATAGAGTTAAGAAACTACCACTTAAAATGTGTATATATTGTTGAGAGTTTGGACTTGCTTTGGGTTTTATTTTTGTTTTTATTAAGAGGACTATTTGAGCCCTATTTTAAATGTTCACATAATTGTCTCATCTGTTTTTGACTTGGAAAATAATCACCATAACTATGGAAATATGGCGGTATATGGATATTGGTTTTTAATAAATTAGAACTGCAAGCTCAAAAGTAGCTAGGTTTCTTCACATTTACTCCATAGAATTACGTTATTTCATTTTCTTATAATGAATATGTAATTCACATGTGATACATGATACCACATAATTCATACGTGATATGTAATCATGTTGTATTGTCTACAGGTATGTTTGCAATTCGTGCTGATCATGATTTTGTAGTACAGGAAGACTTCATGAAAGCAGTCAGAAAAGTGGCTGATTCTAAGAAACTAGAGTCTAAATTGGACTACAAACCTGTGTAATTTACTGTAAGACTTTTGATGGCTGCATGACAGACATTGGCTTAATGTAAAAATAAAGTTAAAGAAAATAATGTATGTATCAGCAGTGATCTCATTAAAAGTGTGTGAATAAAAATATGTATGAGTAACACCATAAAAACTAGCAATTCAGTAATTCAACTTTTAAGATTGGTACAGAAGAAATTTGTATGTTTGTTAATGTTGCATTTATTGCAGCAGAAGTTACAAAAGAAGAATATTGAAGCTTTTCATATTTGCTGTGTGAGCATTTTGTAAAACATTGAAAATGATTTAAGATGGTAGTATAAGAAAGCATTTCTTATGACTTATTTTATATCATTTGTTTTCCTCATCCTAAAAAGTTGAATAAAATCTGTTTGATTCAGTTCTCCTACATATATTCTTGTCTTTTTCTAAGAGTACATTTACTATGGTTCTTTAGATTCCTTCACAAATAAACTGCTTATTTGGTAACCCAGATTAAATTGTATTTAGGTATAGGTTTTGGAATAATATTTTAAAATAGTACACACACCTAGTGTTCATGAGATCATCTTATATATGACGTGGTGGATGTGTGGGTATGTCTATATATGATCCTCCCTCCAGAAATTATTTACGTATGCTTCACCTGCTGTGATTAAGCTATTTGATATTAATTTTTTAAAAATGCATGCACCTTCATAACTTTTTAAAGATTGTTATTAAAAGTAGTATTTGCTAATAAATGTAACTTGGTTTTCTTGGTTTATGTGACATGATAGGTCCCTGTTGAGAACATTAAGGTCTGGACCCTCTTCCAGGAAAAATTCTCACATCTATATACAATTTTGCATATACTCTAATTTCAGGAGATTTATTGTTTCCTGGCGTCATCCATGGATGCTACCTATAGGTATCTGAATACCGGGTTAACAGTGTATGGTGTAGGGTATGTTGATGTCAGAAATGTTCAAGAGAAAACTTCTGTTAACTATATACAATTCTTTCTCACTTCATGTGGCAATAAAATCTTTACCAAATTACATAAGCAAATAATCACTGGGCATCAATTATCAAAAGCGTTAAACAAAAGACACTCAACTTCAGTTTCATAAACACTAGAGGTCCAAAAGAATATGACCTGGTTAATCATACAATCCTCAAAAACTTACTAGCAGAATATTATATGCCTTTTTATCATCTTAAAAGGTGAAAAACAGTTAAAATAGTGATAGAGAAAATGGGACACTTAAGTGGGCATATAATACTCAAATTATTGAACAGTGTCATATTTGTGTGTTGGCAGTGCATCTTATAATATGACAACATAAAAAATAATAGAATGTAGGAGGAGGTGTAAGTCAAATATTTTTATGATCTTTCACTATTATCCATTGTAATTTTTAGAGTACAGATTTTCATTCAGATCCATGGTAAGTTGTATTTAGTTAATGAGTGACTATCTTGTCTTACACTTTTGTGCTGATGGGGGTTTTTTTTGCAATTTTTTAAAGAATCGATTTGGTGTGCAAATCTTTTTTGTGTGGGTTCTTCCATATCCAAGTTTGAGATTGCTCAACTGTTTAAAAGCAGAAAGCATAATAGTATCTCCCTAGGCCCAGATAAAGTAACTTTTATGAACAGTATAATATTAACTTTGAGTCAGCTATCAGTTTCTTTTTTGATGATTTTCCGTTTGCCATTCTTTCTTGAGATACTCTAAGTGAACTTTCTTGAGATACTCTTAAGTGAATTCCCGAGTATTTGTAAAATACTTTTAATCTTTTTTTTTTTTTTTTTTTTCCTGAGTCGGGGTCTCTCACCCAGGCTGGAGGGCAGTGGCACAATCGTGGCTCACCATAGCCTCTAACTGCCGGGCTCAGGCGAGCCTTCCGCCTCAGCCTCCCAAGTAGCTGGAACTACTGGCAGGTGCCACCACACCCGGCTAATTTTTCGATTTTCCATGTATTCTGATTTCAGGAGGTCTCAAACTCCTGCCCTCAGGCGACTTTTAATCATTTATTGAAAGGTGATGGGCGTTCCCTTTTCTGAGTAGCACAAGGTGACTCTAAGCTGCGCTCTTCATTTATTATTCTGGCTATAACCTCACCGCAGATGCGCAGAGCTCCGAGAGGGGAGAAGCCACAGCTTTCCTTTCGGATACCAGTTTCTGGCGGGTAGGGTGTTTTGCCTGCTTGCACCTATGCCCAGCCTGGGAAGTGCAGACCCAGCTGCGCCGCCTCCCAACCTTTCCCAGGACCTTCACGCGTTCCCTCCTGCCGCCACGCCCCTCCCACGCCCCGCCCCCTGCGCCTGCGCTCTCGCGAGGGGGCGGGACGGGGCAGTGGTGCGGTGACACCTGGCGGCGGCGGGGGGCGGGCGCTAAGCGAGCGTGGACTGCGATTGGCTGGGACGGCGTGGGCGGGGCGGGAGGAAGGAGCGGGGACGGTCGTGGGGCGCCCGTCGGTGTGAATCCCGGCGGCCCG